GAGTCAATTTTACACTCTTATCAATGTGAATGTTAACATGTCAATGTGAATATTTACATTGTCAACAGACCGGGCCGGGCCCGCCTCGGGCCGCCCACGGGCCGTGGGCGTGTTTCGGACAGCCACGGGGCACGGGCTAATGTTACACTCTTATCAATGTAATGTTAACATGTCAATGTGAATATTCATGTTGTCAACGGGCCGGGCCCGCCCTGCGCAGCGTACGGGCTTCGGGCCGCCCACGGCACGGGCCAATTTTCACTCCTATCAATGTGAATGTTAAATATGTCAATGTGAATATTCACATTGTCAACAGGCCGGACTGGGCTCGCCCTGGCCGCCCATAGGACGCAAGTCAATTTTATACTCTTATCAAATGTGAATGTTAATATGTCAATGTGAATATTCACATTGTCAACAGGCTGGGTCGGGCCCGCTCCGGGCCGCCCACGGGCCGTGGGCTAGTTTCGGGCAGCCACGGGGCGCGGGCTAATTTTATACTCTTATCAATGTGAATGTTAACATGCCAATTGGAATATTTGCATTATCAACGGTCGGGCCGGGTCGCTCAGGGCAGCCCACGAGCCGCAGGCGGGTTTCGGGCCGGCCACAGGCCGCGGGCTAATTTCACACTCCTATCAATGTGAATGTTAACATGTCAATGTAAATATTCACATTGTCAACGGGCCGGGCCCGCCCAACCCGGGCCCAGGCTTCGGGCTGCCCACGGGTCTGGGCCAATTTTACACTCTTGTCAATGTTAATGTTAATGTTAATATGTCAATATGAATATTCTTATTGTGAACGGGCTGGCCCGGGCCCGCCCCGGGGGACGGGCTAGTTTCGGGCCGCCCACGGGCCGCAGACCAATTTTACATTCCTATTAATGTGAATGTTAACTTGTTAATGTGAATATTCATATTATCAACGGGCCGGGTTGGACCTATTTTTTTGGCTTGTGGGCCGGCTCGGCCCGACTCAAATTTTTCCGGGCACCCACGAGGATCGACATAAGCCGGGCCCTTACACATTAACGATATAAACATTTATATTGACAGTGTGAACATTCACATTAAGGGTATTTTGGTAATTATGTCACCCATAGGACTTATTGAAACATAAGAAAATAATGTGAACTAAATGGAACATAAGTAGATGAAAAGGGTATTTTGGTCTTCTTATATCAAATTGGACCTAATGGAATAGTAAAAAAGAATATGGGTTGGATGGAATAAAACTCTTAGAAAATAAATTTATCAAAAAAACTCCCTTGATAATATTGTCAAAATTTGACAAATATCTTCTCTCTTTCTTTTCACAATAACATCCACAAATAACATTTTCAATTATAATTTTGTAAGAAAAACAAAAAATTACATTTAAATAATTAAAGCAGGATTACCAAATTATATAGTGATATTTTAAAAATATTTAGATGCTCTTAGAATGCCTGAGCTTTGTGGCTCTTCAGGATATCTCCAATCAGTTTGCCATTCAACAATTAAAAAAGTCATGTGGACCCTATTCCTGTTTCCCAGCACATTCCAAACGCTAAAATATTACCTTCATCTTTTTCCCAGCACCTTCCAAACCCTATTCTTCTTATTTTTATTTTTAAATATTACCTTCATCTTTTCCCTCTCTCTTCGAACTTTTTCTCACAGCCTCCATTATCCAAGCCATTAGGGGTAATACGGACCGATCAATTTGTCAAAATTGACCAACCTGATCTAATCCATTCGTTTTAAAGCAATTTCAATAATATGTATGGATGGATATAGAGTGAAAATTTTCAAATCTATCTATATTCAGACAGATAGAGGATAAGAGGTTACACGACCCAACCCCCTTCAAAAAATGATGTCATATTTTTATGCTTTATATGTTTAAAAAGACATTTTATTTAGTAATAATATTAGCTAATTATGAAATAATTTTTTTTTACCTTTATTTATTTATAAAAAATGAAGAATAAAAAAATTTGGACCCAAATAAGGCTCAAAATAGTGAAAATTACTCTAAAATAGTTCCAAAAAAAAAAAGAGCATAAAATAATAAAGCTCAAATTGATAAATCAATCAGCATCCACCCACCAATTCGCTCAATTCTTATTCGCTAACTAAGTAAACGGCTGCGGATTGATTTTTTTCAATATTCTTAAGTTCAGACATATGGTGGATGAGAGGCTACTCGATCCACAAGCACTCCTACTGGCCACCACTCTGCAATCTTTCTCCACCATTTTCAACCCTCTTACCTTTTTATTGTTATGACCACCACAACCACCTTCTAGCGCCTTCACCACTACTATACACCAATAACCACCACAATCACACTCATTGTTGTTCCTCCCAACCCTTTTCCCATAGCCACCATTACAATAAACCTCCAAAATATTGCTACACAAATCAATACACATAGACAGTACTCACTCAACTTAAAATTTTGTTAACCAAACAATTTTTTTTCTTTTTTAATCCAAATCATATTTTAAAAACTAAACCAAACTTAGGCTAAAATTCTCTAAATGCCTTTCCAATTGAAGATTCTTTAGGAAGATAGGGAATAGAGGTGTAGAGAAGTGGAGTGACGGCGAGGGAATAATGGTTAATGAAAAAGAAAGAAGAGAGTAGCAAGTATTGATGAATAATGGATCGAAGAAATCATCAAAGAAAGAAAAGAATAGATAAGTATAGAGTTATCTGGATTTGAGTAAATGGGGTGTAAAATGAACGTTTTATAAAATTATATTGCTAATATCATGATAACAATGGACTAATTACAAAATATAAAACTTAAGGGATATGATGTAATTTTTAAAATTTTAGAGTTAAAAATGTTAGACAAACTTCAAGGATTATAATAGGTAAATTATGCTTTATTCTCATTATATTTGATTATTTTCTCACTTTGACTTTTGAATTTTTTTTTTTTGCTTTAGCCTTTTATATTTAATTTTTTTTCCCCAATTCACTCTTAAGTTTGTGTTTAAAATTAGACAAAAAAATGTCACATTAACTGTCACTAGAGCTGTACAAAATACCGTCCAATCCATTAAAACTGCACCGATTCGCATCAATTCGTACCGTTCCATCCGTTAACCGCAAATTAAACTTTAAAATTTATTTGAGTTGTGAATTTGGTTACAAATTATTTAGTCATATATATATATAAATATTATATAAAATTAGTTTATGTTATATATATGAAAAATATTATGTAAGTTAGTATTATATATTATGCAAATACTTGATAATTGGTTAAAAATATTCTTCAATCTGCTAATTTGTACAAAACTGTTCAAATCGTAATTTGTCAATCCATCATTTAATTTTTTTCCTCATAAACTGACTGAACCACACTACGTACACCCTATCTGCCACATACAAACAAATATTATTATATTAGAGTTTCAGTTTGTGTTAGAGGTGTAAGATATATACAATAAAATCTTTTTATACCACATGACTGCCAATGTGTTATTTTTAATTTAGGTTTGTTTGGAATGATCTAAATAAATATATTTTATGATTTTTTAAAAAAAAAAAAAAAATATAAACATATAAAGAAATAAAATAATCCAAAAAAAAAAGATAAAAAAAAATATCATTATTATACCCAAAGTTAGCTTTTGAAGGAAATTAAAAAAAATTTGAGACATAATAAAAGACCAAAATAAGAAAATGACTAAACATAAAACAAACCCGGTTTTCTCTGCAACCTTTTTCTTCACTACCTTCCAATAATATGGTTCTCAGTTGAGAGTGAAGACTAAAGTGAGAGAGGGCTGTAGAGAATCAGAGAGTGCATTTGTGAAGAAACCCATCTCATTATCTTCACCCAAAAGGTACTTCTCATCCCCTTTATCTCTCTATCTCAAACATTTTACACCATTTTGCTCTTTTTTTTTTTTTTTTTTTTTTTTTTTTCTATCAATTTCTTATTTTTCCTGCCTAAATATCTGAAGATCTCTCTCATGCTTTCACTTTGATTGAGTTTTTTATTTTACTTTAATGTCTGCATCAGATTGTGAAACGGGTCAATACCAAGTCTTCTGTTCATATGACCTGACAATTCAATACTAAAAGACCTTAATTTTTAAATATTTATTAAGTTAAATTGTGACTTGGTGGGTTTGTTATTCTGGGTTGCTTCTTGATTTGTGAATTTAGTGATGATAATCCCACTTCATAGTAATTTACATTAAGGTAATTGAAACCAATTGAAAGCCCTTTTTAATTTTTATTTATTTTCTCAAAATATAGAAAGTCTTATGCTTCAGGTAATCAAACGAGAACTTGGTGATGAGAAAATATTTTTTATTTCTATTTTTATAATTTTTTTTGGGTTACCTCTACTGCGTAATATATGTAGAGATATTTTCATAATTTTTTGGGGGGCCTTTTGGCATTTTAAAAAAAATTCAGTTTACTTTAGTGTCAACATCGGTGGAAAATGTGCTGAAATTTCTTCGGTTTACTTATGTGCAATAATAAACAAAGACCCCCAAATTGTCAAGGAAAAGTGCATTTTTTATTGCTCAGGCGGTGATATCTTTCAATAATGCTTAATATCCTTGTTTTTATTGTCTCCAGACTCATGGATGTGCCTGTTTTTTGTGTAGAAGGGAAAAACAATTGATCTTTCTGGATATGTGAAGCGATTACTTTTAATGCTCAAGGTTAGTGCTTGCATTTCATAATTAATCCTTTCTTTTTTAGACAAAAAATTATCACTCATAAATTGTAAGAATAAATCCCTTGAAAGGAAAGAAGATTTGCTAGTGAATTCAGAATGTTCTCTATTTAAGACACTAATTATGTTTACAATGATGAATAATGCTTTTTCCGATATCCTTATGGATCAGATATTATGATCTTTTCACGAGTGTATCGAATTCTTATTCACTTTAGTGTCTGCACAAGTCATTGAGAAAGATAACGGTGACATAAAACTGTTTCTATTTGCTTGGAAGCTAATTCTTGGAAGATTCATTAGGTATTGACATTTTCTAGGCTAATACTTGATTCATGAATTTTAAGTTCCTTCAAATCTTTGTTTGCTTTATTTTAACGCATGATCTTGTGATTGAGTGGTCTGATATTCTAGGGAAGAAATTTTCCTAATCTGGAGAAAGAGAATTTATTTTCCCAATCATGGTGAGGAATGACGACCATTTTCCGGATGGTGCAATCCCAGCTGAAATTGCAGTGAATTTGAATGAGTTTTTGCCTGAATTTGATGATCTTAATTTTGAGGAGCTCCTTAACTACCAGGTACCCATAAATTAAGATTTTCGTTTGGTACCTTCCTCAATCAGCAAAGAGGGATAGACGTGTTAATTTTTTTGTTCAACAATTTTATAATTTTGTTGCAGGAATGTGTTTATCAATCACTTCAAGGATACGGTAGGAGCAACGATAGGAGGTCTTATACTGGCCAAAGCAGTAATTCGAGTCAACTCTCAGGGCATGAAGGTCAATCTTCAACCCATGGAAGTTTAGATTTACAACTGGCTTTGGATGAAGCTTTGGCTAGATCTTTGCAATTGGAGGACAATTTTGATGATTTTAACATATCTCAATCCACTAGTACTGCCACAGGTAAAATTAATGAATCCCTCCTTTCACAAGAATTTTATGCGGTTACTTCTTTTTCCAAGTAGTACTATTTATTGTTCATCACTGCAGTTATTTTTCTTGACGAATATAAACTATTTTCTTGATTGAATTTCATTTTTCAACATTCTATAATAGTTGGTTGAATTACAGATTACTTTATTTCCGTTTACATAATCAATTTTTTTTTTTTTTTGCTCTCACTTTCGGAATACTTGCAATTTCTGAAACCTAGGCTCAATAGGGCACATATTTTCATTGTATTCAACACCCTTTGAAAGCCAAAAGCAATGGAACCCCAAGGGGTTGGCCTATTGGGTGCAGCTTGGGGCTGGGAGTTGTGCTCCCTCTAGGTCTCAGGTTCAACTCTTACTAGGTGCTATCAACTCTTTGGGGTCATGCCTGTGGGCTCTGCCTGATCCATGCAGAGGGGGTGCTTTGCGTGGGTCCCAGGATTAGTTGAGGTGCGCGTAAAACTAGGCCAGACACCTGGTCATCAAAAAAAAAAAAAAAAGAGGCCAAAAGCAATGGATCTGCTGATCCCCTAGCCACTGACATGATTATCCAATGTGACATTTATAAAATAAATAAATAAATGATTATCCAATGTGACAACTCAGTTAGTAATTATACATTTCTAAGCCGATGAGAGTAGTGGAAGTTAATAAACTCATAATACAAGATATTTCGTACCAAGTACAAATAGGAGGAAAAAATTTTTGAATGGGAAAAACAGAGAATTTGAAATTAGGTGCGAAAGGAAGAAGCATATTTGTTCAAAACACTTTCGCTAAAACATCACACTTCAGAGTTCACTGTGCTTGTCCTAACACCAAATGGTGTTCGTCATGAATGCACATCATTTTTAGGAAGAAAATAGTAGGGAATCATCAGAATCAACATAAAGCAATCGAATTTGTTATCTTTTGGGCAATGTTGGGGATATATCATTGTGTCTCATGACCCCATAGACTCTAAAACCTATTCTTTTTACACATATTTACTTTTTGGATGTATTGGTTTGGTGCCCTTCATTCTACGACATATGTTTTGTCTAACGATGTAGTCTGGCCTTTTACTGCTGGATGATATTGCAGAATATCCTTCTGGCTTTAAATCTGTGTGATGTGCATTTAACTTTATTTTGTGATATTATTAACTCCTACTATGTTTATGATCAATCCTAAATAAGTGGTGCAATGCCATAAACTCATGATGAGCCTAATTGTATAAAAAAAGCTCTATATAATGACCATTCATGTAGTAGCATACTGAAGTTTGTACTCCATTTCAAGACACTCTAATACTAAAAACCATAGAAGATTTTGATTTTGGTTACGTGATTACCCCTTCTATATGAGAAGTGTGGAAGCTAATCTTGATGGTTCCATCCTATGAAGCATGGACACGCCAAAATGGAAGTTGTGGCGGTGTCGGATACGGGGACACGCCGGGGACACAGCATCTGGCGTGCCCCCTTAATTTAATTTATTTTTTTGCAGGAGACACGCGTGTCCAAATCTGGACACGCCATGGACACGGCAAGAAGAGTAAATGAAAGGGAAAACGAGTACAAACCTAGTCGGCGACGATCCAGAGCCCTTCGACTTTGACTTTGACTTCGACGATCCAGAGCCCCATTCGACTTCGACGATCCAGAGCCCCCTTCGACTTCGACGAGCTCTCTCTCACCTTTGCCTTCTCAGAGCTCTCTCTCTCTCTCTCTCTCTCTCTCTCTCTCCCTCGCGATCGCGATCGCGATCGTCTCCCTCTGTCTTGCTTCTGATCGCGATTGTCTCCCTCTGTCTTGCTTCTGTCTCCCTCTCTCTCGGTTCTCTCCCGTCTTTGCCTTCTTGTCTTGATTCATATATAATATATATTATATAATAACTATTATTATTATATAATAGTTATTATATAACATGAATATACTTATAAGATAATGTATAATACATATTATAAGATAATATATACTTATACATGTTAATAAATAAACACATATATGTAAAACAAAATAAAAAAATTAATTGGAACATCTTATTTAAAAAATATATTAAATAAATAAATAATTAATATGTATTAAAATAAAATATTTATAAAAAAATTTAAAAAATTTCCGTGTCCCCTGCTGTGTCCGTGTCCGTGCTTCATAGGTTCCATCAAAGGACACATGTAACGATATGAATGACTTTAAACTAGTCAGAGCTTCCTATTTAGCTTATATAGCATTAAGTAATAGCCTTGCATTACATATATTCAATAGCATCAAAAGAGCCATAGGAGATGGATCTAAGTTAATTATGGGCAATATCCAATCCAATGAAGGACAAATCTTCCTGGGTGGTAATGGTTATTGGTTACTATTAAAGTAAGTATTGGCTACAATCTAAGTAGCATAGACACACATACACGACACAAACACATTGACGCGACAATTTAAAAAAAAAAAATGAAGGACATGAAGATGCGTTTGTAAAGTGTCTGATATTATGAATCTAAAATTTTGATTAAGACACGTTGAAGATGCTGGACAAGCTTTTAGGAGTGTTTGCAGAGTATTGTGTCTAACATGACATGCAGCCTCCATAGAAGTGTCTGTGCTTTTTAGGCTACAACAATTTAATTCAAGGCATATGTCTCGTACTTTTGCAAGCTAATAGAGCAGCAGATGGCATTGTTTGGGGAGGATGTGTTAAACTTACTTATTAAATACAAATATAAACATGGCAAAGAATATGATCAAATTTAATTCCTGCCTTGTCTCACCAATGGACTCTTGAAGTCTCGAATGCTGTTTATTTTATATGTTGAATTATACATGTGACCATATAGCTATTTGTCTGCATCAATTGTAAAAATAACCCCATTTTTGCACATTTTGCAGGGAACAGAGAAGTTAGTTCTAGAGAAACTCCTGCCACGGTATCTCTACAATTTGTCAACACTTCAATCGACTTTTGTTGCATCACAAGGTTATAGTCCTGATATGATATTTGGTTTATGTGCTGAAATGTAGCCTGTGAATCGAAATGTGACGCAAGATGATATAGATCCAGATAATATGACTTATGAGGCAAGTTTATAGATATACACTACAATCTTTTTCATTTTGTTGTGTGAATTTCGTACTAAATTCAAATTTATCTCTGTTTATTGTAGGTGGCTCATTATGTTGTTTTCACACAATTAGGTCATATGCATTTTAATCTATATTAATATGACTCTCTGAATGTTTTATTGTTTTAGCAATTGCGATCCTTGGAGGAATCTGTTGGTTCTGAGAGTACTGGACTGTCAAAAGAGCTCATCTCCAGATTACCAAATTTCAAGTACAAAGTGGGGATGTTTTCCAAGAAAAAGGAAAAACAAGAGTAAGATCCATTTAACCTAAGTTTTTTACCCTCTAAATAGTATCATACATACATTTATATGGATGAATGTGTGGACAGTGAGTATAATAAGTCTGATTTTGAAAGTGTGAATAAAACGCACCTCCTGATTGGTTTAGAACAGTGGAGCCTACAACTTTGAGTAGGGTCAATACACTTTTTGGAGGGTCCACTGTTTTGGACCAATCAAATGTTGTGTTTTGTTCACACACTTTGAAAGTGAATGAAACAAATTCATTTTTGAGTAAAATATATATGGAGACTCACACCCATGCAAGTCACAAGCTTGTTCCTCATAGTATTATTCATATATTTAGATGGGTCAATGTGTGGAACGAGAGTAAAATACATGCGGACACACCCACACACATGTGAGTCACAACTCATTCCTCAAGATGAAGTTATATGTTCACTTCTGGATTTTAGCTTAAACACCATTGCCATGGTCATGGATACCTATTCTTACTGTCAAATGATTTGATATTTCAAGAGAAACATTAAGGCCTAAGAAGCATGTACACTAATACAGATGCGGACACGGGACATGGCGATTTCAAAAAAATGAGGACACGGAAAACATATTTTTATTTGCTATCTAGATTAATATTACATTTACAAACAATCAATATTAACAAAAACTAACTATAATTCTATTTTTTTTAAAGTACTTTTAAATTAACACTTACAGTTTATATATATATATATATTTATTTATTTTTTATGAATATTCTATTAAGTATTTAAATCTAAGAAAAAAATAATAAACATTCAACATTCATCAAAAGCACTAAATAAAATGGGGGAAAGACAACTTGGCATGTCCCTAGTGCTATGAAGCACAAACACGGATACGGATATGTGATACGACACGGACACGCGGATACGCAAATTTTCAAAAAATGTAGGACACGACGTGTTGGGGACACGTTTAATATATATAATTAAATTTATTTATTATATATCATAAAATTATAAAAAAAAAAATCATTGAAAGGTAATAAAAAATACAAAATAACACTACTAAAATTATTTTTAAAAAAAAAATTTCATTAATTTAACATTATATATATCATTTACAAATAACATAAAAATTGCATTCCATCAATACATGACTTGTCATTCCAAGCTATTCATGAAAACCAAGCCACAAAATATAAAATTATCCAATATACTAACAACCATCATCTATTACAAAATCCTTAAACATCAGAAAATGTAAACATAAGTAGAGGAAACAAGTACAACATCTTCACCATCGCCTCCATCTTCTCCTTCATCTGTAAATAGGACTGCCTCCATAGTCGGTTCATCAAGTGAGAGGTTAGCTATCCCAAGCATTCCAATATCATCAAGTGAGTCAAAGTTATCTCCTGCAATGTCTCTCATTTTTGTCTCTCCTTGCAAGTATTGGGAGCTCCTCCTTGATAAAAGACGAAGATTGCTATGAATGAATACCAAGTCTTCCGCTCGTTGAGGGACCATTTTGTTCCTTCTCACTGAGTGAATAAAGGAGTAAGTACTCCAATTTCTCTCACATCAAGATGAAGAGGCGGGTTGCACAAGTAGTCTCAAAACTAGTTTTTGAAGAGTTGGTGTATATGCACCATATGCACACCACCAAGTATAAGGATCCATATGCCACCTATTATGAATGGAATCACATTTGGAGAATGCTTCAACATAATCCGAAAATTTTCCAAACTCTATTATCACCTTGGTTCGCTCCGTTATATGTTCAAAATACCTCTTAAAACACTTGTTCCTCTCACGTGTCACCTCTTCATCCCCATGTGGAGGAACTCTATTTTGATCCTCATGGAGCCACTCATCACTATAGTACCTACAATACAAAATAGGAAAAATAATTATTTCAAAAAAAACTAGATAAGTCCATTAAAATAAAATATCTAAAACAAATTTAGATGTGGTACTTTGGATTCAATGAATGTGCCATACAATGGAGAGGAATATTGTTCTTATTCCAACGATCCACGAGAATTTGATGCACCATATTGTAAAATGTAGATTCCTCATCTAGTCTTTTCCCTTTATACCAACATAATGTCATCTTCACTTTCTCTATCATTGTGTCCCACATATCATATACTAAGTGAAGACAAGGCTTGTCCGTATCACAAGCCGGAAGCATGTCATATATAGGACCTGTGAAGGGAAGAATATAATCAATGTAGTCCCACCATACATCATTCAAACTCTTTTCTTTTACAAATTTTGCCTTCCCAACATCATCCTTTTTGTAACAATTCCACTTGTCACTAATCACCATTGCTTGAAGACCACATTTTATAAGCTTCAACCTCTTGAGCACAACAATTGTAGAGGCAAATCGTGTTTCGGCAACTGAAAACAACTTCAACAGTACAAATTCATTGTTTATAGCCAATTGCATTGAGTGATTAGAGATAAAATTCTTAATCATCAAACCATCTCTGGCAATATCACTAATACAACTATACTCTTCATATGTGACTTCATTCCTCTCAGTATTCTTTGCAACAAAAATATTTTTCAAAGCTAGATTTAATATGTGCACCACACAAGGAGTCCATAGAATATGAGGGAATTGAGCTTCAATGAGTTGTTTGGCTGCCTTACAATTAGGAGCATTATTCGTGATGATTTGAACCACATTACTTGCCCTAATCTCATTAATCACTTCTTTCATCAAATTTGCAATGAAATACTTGTCTTTAGTTTCTCCACAACAATCAACTGCCTTAATGAACATAGGCCCGTTTTCACTCATTGCCATAAAATTAATCAAAGGCCTCCTTTGAGAATCACTCCAACCATCACTAACAATGCTCACCCCTTTTTCCTTCCATGTGCCCCTAATTGGTTGCAACAATCTATCAATATTTGCCCTCGCCTTTTGAAGTAATGTGGTTCTTAACAAATTATAACTGGGAGGCAAATATCTAGAAATATTGTGATTTGCAGCAAATGAGTAAGAGCTAACATAGTTAAGGTTCCTTGCAAGATTAAATGGTACCCCCCTCCCCCCTCCCGCCTGAGTAGAACATCCTAGCAATTTCAAAATACAATTGCTCTCTATCCTTCATGTTGAATGCTTTCTCAACAACAATCCTCTAGTTCTAGGCCCACTCCGACTCCCACTCCCACATGTTCTCCTCTTATTTGATTCATAAGCATAACTACTTCCCACTAACACACTAGGAGGAAATGGTACATTTTTTGGATGAACATTTTTAATTCTTAGTTCAGCAGCATCATTCTCATTTTGCATTTGTGAAAGTTTTTGACTTGTAACTTTCTTACGAGCACCAATTCCGTTTTCTGAGAGTTTTAACAGGTGTGCCCTTACTCTTGTATATGAACCTTTAAAAGTATTATTACAAAAATTACATTGTAAATGGTAATTTCCTCCTCTTTCCCCAAGTTTTGCTAATTTAGTTATATACCTCCACAATGGTCTGTTCTCTTCAAAATCATCATTAGGTATGTCATTAGAACTACCACCCCGTAGTTGCCATTGTTTCAGACAGTGTTTTGAAAAGCGCGTGCCTAAGCTCAAGGCGAGGTGAGGCACAGGTTTGTGTTTCATGCATAGCAAGACGAGGCGACATGGGTAAGGCGCAATTAAGGCACTGAGGAGAGCGCCTTATTATGAGGCAAGAGGCGAGCGCCTTGTGCGCTTCACTTCTATTCCACTCCAACGGCTCATATGGTTTTCTGTGTGGATACCCATATGGAATAAAGTCTCTCTTACATTATAAAATGACGAAAACGTGGTCCAAAAGAACAAAAAGGATTAAAAAAATCCCTAGTGGGTGGAGAAGAAGATGACAACACGATTGGAAAAGAAGACGACACAGTTCTTTGGCTTTCGACACACAGGTTCTCTTCTCTTCTTCTGTGGTTCTCCTGTTCTTCTCTCTCTTCTCCTCTTCTTCTTTGCCTCTGTTTCTTTTTTGCTTTATTTTTATGGTCTTCTCCTCTGCTTCTCTTCTCTCTTCTTTGGTCTTCTTCTCTAGCTCTCTATTTTTTTCTTCATACAATGCAACCATAGGATTTTTTTTTTTTTAATTTCTTTTTTGAATCACAAGCTAGAAGCTTAGTTGTTTTGAACTTTATGTGGATGATCTTAATGTTGGCATATTATAATCACCGAAAGTCACTTAGCATATTATATTAGCCGAAAGAGTCTGTAATCATTTTTTATGCACTCAGGGATTGTAATTGTCTACCTTGTAAACCCTAATCTTTATTTATAAATAAGGGATGATAGCTCATCATACCCTAAGCTGTTACTCAAGCTTCACTTAATACTTAAGGTTTTTGGTGGATGTGAATGTGATACTTTATACCTTTTGTTAGATATTATATTTTTAATATACGTCATATATTTATTTTGTTAAAAAGTTTGCCTATTTTATAATTTTGCTTTTCTTCTACTACGTTCGCCTCGCCCTTAGGCTGTAGGAGCCCTTAACACCTCGGTGCGCCTGAAGTCTTTTAAAACACTGGTTTCAGAATTAAAAATTGGTTCCTATAATAGAATTAATAAACACATATCATTAAAATTAACAAGACTAATTAGCAAAAAAAATAAATAGAAAAAGAATGTAATTAAATAACAGAGGCAGAGAGAAAGAAAAGAAAAAATAAATCGAAGAAAAAAAATAGAAGAGAGAGACAGAGAGGGAGGTGTTATAATCAGCATATAAAAGAAGAAAAAAGAAAGGAAAGTAAAGTCGAAGAGCAGAATAGAAGAGAGAGCGATTGAGAGAGAAGATCGAAGAAGAAGAAGAAGAAGAAGAAGAAGATCGAAGTTGTACCTTGGATAACAGCAAATGCAGCGAGCAGCAAACAGCGATGAGCGATGACTGACCAGCAACGACCGACCCGGTGTGCCTGATGAGCCTTTCTCTCAGTCTCTTCCCTTCTCTCTATTCAATATCTAGGTTAGAACTTGATCTGTTTGCTTTAATTACAAATTGACCCCCACTTGACGTTTCATAAATTATGATTTTCACCCTGCGGTGTCCCAAACGTGTCCATTACGTGTTCGGCTGCCAAAAAAAAAAAAAAAAAAGAAAAAAGACACCTTCTACAGCATGTCGGACACATGTCCACCGGGTGCCTGACACGTGTCTGACATTGATACGCAGCCCTTGGAGAGGTGTCTATGCTTCAGCCCTAGTGTGTCCCCAAAGTGTCCTCGGCGTGTCCCCTGAAAATAAATTAATTAAATAAGGGGACATGTCATGTGGTGTGTCTCATACGTGTCCCCGAAGTGTTCGTGTGTTCAACACGGATATGACACTTGTTTTGAAGTGTCGGTGCTTCATAGTTGCACCGATGTACTATATTAGGTTAAAAGGATTGCTACTTTGGTTGCTACCAATGCTATATCTTTGTCTTCTAAAATAAAATAAAATTATATGTTGAGTATATGAATAATTTATACCCTCTCTAATAATTGATGCTGACATCGTAGTTGAGAATTGACGCTTTGTTAGCTTGGTTCGCCCAAGATCATAAATAAAGACATAGATAGATGGGTGTCCGGATTTTAGTATTGAGAAAAGGAGGTCCCTTCCTTGATTTCGACGTTGCGAGATGGTACCCACACTTTTGCTTTTGTGTGCTTGCTCGCCATTTCCTCTATGGATAGATTTCTTGCTGTCTTTGGATCCCAAAGTAAGGGGTTGTGTCACCATTCATGTTGTCTGGTAATAGGTGATTCCACCTTACTATTCTATGGATTTCTTTGATGTTCAAAATTCTCTACCTCTATCCCTTGAATCAGACAAATTTTAGATGAAGAGGTAGATGATCTAGTGACAAAATTCATAACTTAACCTTCCACCGAGTCAAATTTTTTATTGACTTAACCTTGTGAATTCATAACTTCTCTAATATTGGGCAATGTGGGCTTTACTAACTCACAGTTTTAGTGAATTCAATGAACTGCATTAACCCACCAAGTAGTAGATCAGTGATTCAACATTCATAACTTGATTCCATAGCATATAAGAAAAATAAGAAATACTACCGAGTCAAAGTTTGATTTGATTTGATTTGATCCCATAGCATATAATTCAATTAATACAGCTAATTTAGATGTTTCCTTTGACTAATAGAGGGGACAATATACTATTTTCCAACACACACACAAAAAAAAAAAAAAAAAGAATAGAGAGGGAATTTTAATAAAAGGTTAATGTGAATTTATTGTTGTATTATTTGCAAAATTCGTGTTCTTTTCTTGATTGTTGCTCGACATGTCTATATCTAGATGTGTGATATGCTGCATGATGTACAAAAATGGCGAAAAATTGATTGCTTTGCCTTGTGCACACCAGTATCATTCAAAATGTATTACTAGCTGGTTGAAGCTCCGCAAAGTAAGTTTTATTTTCCTTTGTAATAATTGTTGTTCTAATCACAGTACAAAGTTCTCTACTCCGCAAATTATTTGGTTTACATTTTGTGATTCAGTAAGAACATTTGGAATTTGTTTTCATTATCAGCCAAAATAAAGATTAATGCCACTGTTGCTGTCTAAAATCTTAAATTACACGTGTGTCCTTATGCTAAGCATATACATGTTGGCCTTGCAAGGATTAAAGATTATGTTGACCTGTAACGAAGGTCAAATAGCCTTGAGCCTTAAAACATGCTATGATTTAGGTCCTACCAATTGGGCTACATCTAATATTCAGTGCAGCCAGCAACTTGAGGCACGCACTTAAGGCGCAAGGTGCACAAGGCGCACGCTTCATTTAAGATTCTTCTTTTATTTTTCCTTTAATACTAGCTGTTTGAGGGTAAATTACACTGACCTCAAGCCGTTTGTACTATGATGGACTTATATACTGCCACATGGGCAAGGATGGATCTAGGGGGGTGAGGTAGGGGCGGTCTCACTCCCAAAATTTTTAAAAACTATGTATATTATACTAGTAATTAGTAAGATAATTTTAAACTGGAGTATTTCGCGCCTCCAAAATTTCAGTAGTTTGCACCCTCCAAATTATTTACATTCCAAAATTTTAAAAATACTTTTAAAATTGAGTTTCATCAAATATTGATTTATTCTATATGTTATCTGTATTATTTGTTATATTTCGATATTGTTTAAAGTTACTTGTATTATTTTATTTGCTTCTATTTATTACTATTCTTGTTTTCTGTTCATATGTCATTTATATTTATATTTTATTTATTTTTTATTTTATTTTTTATTTTTTTATTAATCACACTTTAATTTGCTTATGTATCTTATTTTGCATTCATTCTTGTTTGTTCATTCTCAAGAAATAGGAATATTGTCTACTTCGACATAACATTCTTAAAATAAATTAATAAAATTTAATGCCGCTTATTGAAATGAATTATTATTATACTCATAAAAACATACATTTTCAATTATAAATTTCTTTCAAAACTAAAACTGCATAATAAGATGGAAGATGATTTTGTAGCAAGTTATTTGATCATATTTATTGAGAAAGATATTAATTAAGGTTATGATGTTGAGTTTATCATAGATGTTTTTATATATATTATAAAAGTGGCAATTATAATATTTTCAAATAGTTAACTTTACTAGATAGAGACATAGTAATAGTTCATATTTTGTTAAGTTGATGCAGACAAGAAATATGTCTAATTATATTTTTGTTCTCAATTATGTTGACAAAGAATATTCGATTAATAGTAATATTATTCTTTTTTTTTTGTTGTATAAATCAATTTTTTTGATGAAAAATTACGTATATTTTTGCCCTCCCAAAATTCTAATCCTAGATCTGTCAAGTCTTCAATTAAAACTCTAGTCCTCCTCGGCCCTTCGGTATCCAAATTCCACCCATCCAGTTGTTAGGATCGTACGATCAAGTTTAACAAGAGCCCACAAGAGCCCAAGACAAGCTTTTCATATGCCTACTCCTCATATGCTTATGTGCCGAAGGCATACAAGGTGCACTTGAGGTGCACGCCATAGATTATGATGTGCGAGCCTTTGGGGAGTGTTCCCTAAAAATCAAATGCCTTGAAGCGTTTGTCCTAGCCTCACCTCGAAATGAGCATCGAGGCGAGCCTCTGTAAAGCTTTTTAAAACTTTGATTAGACTTGTTTATCCTCCATAAAGTATACATGACTCTCTCTCTCTCTGTCTCTCTCTCAGCTCTGCCCTGTTTGCCAAGAGGAGGTGTGTGAAGACTAATCCAAGGAAGCTGGCATTGGAATGATCACAGCCACTGGTTCTTAATAAGCTTTATACATATTGGTTTTTTATATTTTTGTAAGTAGTCTGAAGTTATCACTCCTTGTGGGAGTACTGAACTTTTGTTGAAGTTATTTACATGCAAAGAAGTTTCTTATATTCGTTTTTGGAATAGAAAAAGTATAATTTGACTGTCCCCTTCCTCATGAATTATCTTCTTTGGCTGTGTTGTTGTCGCTTTTTTATTTTATTCTATTATTATTGTTTTTATAGCTCCTCATGGTTGTTTAAGAACTATGGACTTTCATATTAGAGGTAATAGAAATATTCTCCCCTTATCTATTTAAAGCTACTCATTCTTTGCTTGCTTGTTTGGAATTCATCATAGACGCTTTGGTCTCAATTAGTGCGGTTGATTCTTTCCTTCATAGAGACTTGCCCCCGGCCTTGTCAGCTCATCCATGAGGGGTCTTTCTTTTTGTTTGATGGTAATGTGAGTCTCTTGCAATTGGTCTGTGGCAAAAGGTCATCTGTTTAATAATAAGTCGGAATCAATCCATGAATAACTTCTTTTCTTAAAATTTAAATTTAAATTTAAATGGATGGCTTTCTTGCTTTTCTTTCTTTTATCAGTTAGTTCTGAACCACACTTATGACAGTTACCATCACCAAGAAGCATGGACCTGAAACAATACACTTGAATTGATTACTCTCTCTTTCTTGAAGGTCTTCTATTTTCTGTTTTCAAATCTCTGGTTGTTTGTCTCAGTACATTTTGACTATTAGATCATGTAGAAAATTTGAGGACAAAAAATTTGTGCTCACTTTGATCCAACTTATTGTTGCTTGCATGATGATGATTGGATGAAGAAAGTGCCGGATATTCTTCCGATTATATGAGGCATATGTGTATATATACATATTCTTAATAATGTTACAGTAATCATATTTTTATACCACATTTGATGTGTCACGTGAGTTACCACTATTACATTGATCTAGTGGATTCTATCACTTATATTTGTTTCTAATGCAATTGTAACATCTCACTTGATAAATTACATGTTATATTTAATTTCGATCATTATAGCATTATTATTATTATTTTATGGACGGTGTCACCCTTCATCTATGAGTTACATAAGGTGATAATTTTTAATTTGGTTTCATTACAATCTATTGACTTGAGATTCTTTGAAAAGTGTCCCAAATATCATATATGTTTTGAGCTTCTAAACCTTCAACTACAAACTATCAATTAGGGGTGCCATTTTGTAAAAACACATTTGTTTTTGATAAAAATAAATAATATTTTTGATACGCACATGTTCTAAATTTATTTCAAAAGCAATAATCAGAGGTTGTTGGAGAGGTGGTTGCTTGTCGTCATAGGTAAGGGACTTGCTAGAGGTGGGGGAACTTGTCCGCCATGATGGGAGGTTGTTACCAACTAGAAATAAAAATTGACGACAAATGAAATTTTTGTTTTTAAATTTTCATAAAAATTTAAAAATGTATATAAAAAAATTATGAATATAAACTCTAGGACAGGATGCCAAGAATCTTTTATCATTCTTAAAACAATTGCTTTGGGTTTTTTTAAATTTTTATAATAATAATACAACCAAACAAGTTATTGATTTTTTTTATTTAATATATATATATTAATTAATCAGCCTTGCACAAAATCTAATTGTCCCAAGAAAGATATGAGAAGCCCAATAGAATCATATTGCCAGAATTCAATCACAGAATCAATTCTAACGATTTGAAATCTCAATTCAATCACAGAATCAATTCTAACAATTTGAAATCTTCGAACAATTTGTCGATAGCTACCATCAATGTTTTGGGCTCCGATTTTTTGCCAAAAATGATTAGATTCTTGGATCGCTACATGGGGCCACGTAGACCTTGCCCCGAGATTCTATGCCCTTGTGTCGGGCTCAAGAGTGAAAACGCTCACACAATATTACTGGAAACGCCACCTCTCTTCAGCATTTTTAATGTACCCAACAGAAGTAAGAAAAAAAAAAACCATTCTTTTGCTTAAACATTGTAAAATGCCTGTTGTTGAATGAATTCTTATAGTTTCAATCTATTGTAGACAAACAAATCAGAAGGGATGTTAGTGATATTTCAAAAGGCAAATTTCATAAGGAATCACGATTGGATCGTTGTGCTCGGGGGGACTTCAAATGAAGTGCTTTAAGCAATGTATCCAAAATAGAGTATCGAATACCATCCACCAGCATAAAGATCATAAGGCAAAATAATTATAGTAATTAAGCAACAAACTCGTCAACATCAGAATCATTGTCATCTATTACCACTCCACTCCCGAGTAATGTGTTCAGAATCATTTACGCTGCCCCTGGGTAGTACTTCAACGTGCATCTTCCCATGGGATCATGAATGTCGACATCAAATCCCAAGGAGAGTGGTCGTCCGACAGCTTGAACATGCGAGATGCTGCAAAATGGCAATAAACAAAGATCAACATAACCAAGAAATTACCAAATTCAGGCAAAGCAGGTGTACACGGGATCAGAAATTACTGAAATTTAACCTTTGTTTTGATTTAAATGCTTAGACTAAATACTTCGGGAATCTAATAACAATTTGTAAACTCATAGGAACTTCCCATTTTCATGTGCAATCCACACCAGTCGTGGCTATTTCATAAAATGCTGCAGAAGAGATAGGGTTTTAGTCATTCAAAGATCATTTAGGGCTCGCTTGTTCAACTGACTACTTGTACATTACCATACTATTACACCTTTAACATATACTTGAATTCAGAAAATTTATAGCAAAAGAGTCATTTTAGAGGGGTCACAATGTCTGCCTTGCATAAACATGATGTGAATATCCCCACACACACACACAAAAAAAAAAAATTTCTCCTCGGCAAACATCATATCTTCTCTAATCTTTCGGACACATGAATAACAAAATGAAATCACAAAACGCGTATACTGAGACTTGATCCTTGTTATTTATGAGAGTCCACAACATTGACACAGAAGACAAGAGTGTGTCTAATGAAATATGTAGATTCCTAGATTCGAAAGGCAAAAAATGCAGGTGTGAAGCCGAAGGCAAATATTCTTTCCTTTTCCTAGTGTAGATTACAATTAACTAGCAAAAGGGAGACATGTTAGATAATAGTACAAAAATTGCACCCAAAAAAAAGCGGGGGGGGGGGGGGGGGGGGGGAAGCTATGTACAATATGAATAAGTGAAAAAGAAAATATAAATCTATAATAAATTTATGAATTTCATAGGTCAACCTCATGGTGCTTCTCACAAGCTCGCCTTTTAATTGGTCCACCACGTAAGCCAATACACATATTATCATTTTTTCAGAAACTAAGATTGTTTCTACCAGCAGAAAATCAAAAGAAAATACCAAGAGATAGGGTCACACAAGCTGATTGAACGTCCCATATCAAAAAAGAACCAATTGGGTCAAATGAAAGAGAATGATGATCTTTAACCATGCTAGTTGATCTGATCTGATCTGATTGAATTTTGAGGTGACAATTCGACCATAGGATGATTATGTAGTGCCTAATTTGACGGTAGGTCATTTATTGTTTTTTGTGGCTCATAGATACATGAAGTCAACCTCAAATAGCTTTTTCCTTCATATGAAGAAACTAATTTGCCATCAATTGCTTTAACAATCTTAAATTCTACTTTTTTTTTAAATTTTTTTGATTGGCAAAGAAATTTATTAATGTGAAGAACTGAGTACAAGAGGAAGAAACACCCAAAAGTCGAGGGCCAACCACCGGATCATTGCTGAGAAGACAATGTCCCAACTAGGTTGGCACAAAAGCCTCCAGCCAATCAAGTGCGAGGACCTGGCATGAACAAAGGAAAGGGAAAAAAATCCCCCAACAAAAACTGCCTACAGCAATCCACCTACAGTAATCCACAGCCAGGAAGGAAAGCACAAGCCACACAAAGGGTGCTACCCTACTAAATCTGAAGCAAGAATCTGTTTTACAGTAATCCACGGCCAACAAGAAGTTGGACGGAAATCACAAGCCACACAAAGGGTGCTACCCTACTAAATCTGAAGCAAGAATCTGTTTGACAAAAAAATGAAGTCACTGACAGAGAGTCAACTTTTTACTTTTTCTTACTCTTACAGCAACCATAAAGTGACAAAGATCCTAAAACTGCCAAATACAAGAGACAGAAAAAAGACTCAACAAGAAGAAAAAAGTCCAGCAAATAATGATGTCAAAACGCAAGAAGTTTAGGCCAAACTTTTAGTAGCCAAGTGTCATGGACCCGGACCTCTCAAAAGGGTCATGCTACTTGCGTATGAGATCCCTGGGTTGGGTAGTCTCTTGTGGGTTGACTCTTTTGACAGGTCTGGATTTGTGGTAGTAGTACCAAAGCAGGCTCAAGTGCATCACAAGACTCACATCGCAATCTTATCAACTGTGTGGAAACCACCATGTTGGTAGGGGCTCACCCCAGGGTTTGTGGCAGCATGACATGGCGTCCCATGTGTTCTCACTGTGTCTCTGTCCCATATGTGTCCGACACTGCTATGGCCGTATTTTGAATTATCGGTGCTTCATAGATTTCTTCTTAAGATGAGCCTAAAGGTTGCTGCGTCACAAAAAGAATAAATAAAGCATAGACAATTTGACCAAAACCATTACCTTAGGTAAGTCATCCTGCACCAGATATGCTATTCATACAGACCATAAATTTTACAGTTTCCTTGACTTTATTCTTTAGACGAACCCGAAGATAAAGCTCCACAGCATCACATGAACACATTCAAACTTAGAAATTATGACTCACAACATCACATGGACACTTTCAAATGCTAAAATTATCTAGCATGACTCACAATTCAGTCCATAAAGAAATAACTCAGAGTAACAGTAATAGGAGATAGGACTGCAATGCAAGGAACTAACCATATATAATATAAACCATCAATTTCTTCTCTCTGTGCTCTACCCAAAAGCTCTATTTGCAGGATTCCACCAATGCAAAGAACAGGTTCTGGTAGCTTGAATTTCTGCAAGCGATTCTCCTAATATCCATGAGGAAATCATCTAAACATTTTAGATTTTGAGATAATGCACTAAAAATGGTTAAAATCTAGAAAAAGAGGGCTAAATAGGACTTCAAATTGCATCTTGATGATTTGCTTGAGGTTACCATATCTTAAGAATTCCATGCAATCATTTATACTCTGCAAGATTTAATGTATAAAAATATAGAGAGAATTGTATTATTGATAGATTGTATTGAATTGTGTATATTACAATTACAAGGATTCCTATTATATAGGAGTGTGTTTGGGAGTAGGTGGAGAGGTGGAGTAGGTGAAGTGGAGGTGGTAGTGGTGTAGTGGGTTAGGTTTAGTGGAGTAGGTGAGGTGGTAGTGGTGGTAGGTTTATGGTAAATTCTAACATACTCGTTTCCCCATAATTTAATATACTTGCAAAATGGTAGACATGTTTTGTTATTTTTCCTTCTTGAAACATATCCTATAAGGAGACAACGCCATAAAAATTGATATCTGTTCAAAGCTTCATAGTTTTTACTTAGCTTTTGCCAAGAATCTAAGAATAAGGGTCCTCAATACAAAAAACAACACGACGAATCTTCTTTGCCACACTGAATAGAAAAACTCATGCTTTGTTTGGTAGGAGGGGACAGAAAACTAAGATGAAGGACAAGATAAAAGGGATGGCTAATAGACTTTTCCTCTGCTACCTTCGTTGAGCAGAGAGGAGTTATTTTAGTTTACCATTATCCTTCAAAATATTTACATGCGGTCTCCTTCGAAGGGCAAAGATTTGAAAGTAAAAATTGCACTTGATATTTTCCCCTGATTTTCACCCATTTTTGGAGTGATTGGTTTTGGTGGACCCAAAGAGATTACACATGACTTTTCCTTCCTCCTATCATTCGCTTCCTACAAAGAAAGAAAAATGTCTCCACCTCTCCCTCTTCTCCCCTTTCACTTCTTCCCAGTCATTGGTCCTACCAAAAAAAAAAGAGTAAATCACACACATTAATTGTAAACTTACCTGAGCCATTGGAAATTCGGGTGACGTATATGTCCATTCAAATAAGTTGTCAGCGGATTCATGGACAGCATCAGACTCATCTGAGGAGTCACTTCCTATTTCCGTCAGGGATCTGGGACATCCCATTCGAAAACGCACGGCCTTTGCTGAATATATAGGAAATCCTAACTCAAAATACACTGATAAGAAAACATAGTTTTTGTCAATAAAAAAAAAAAAATCAGAGTCTGAAACAAGTATACAACACGAGTGTAAAAGCCACCCGAGGGTGATGGCCTGCTGGTCAGGGACACCCTCTCAAGTGGTTTGGTGGATAGCAGGCCATGGGTTTGAGTCCCATCAACGGTCACTAGGGGGCATGAGACTCATGCCCACTATAGCTTGGCCCATCTCGAGGGAGCACCTGTGAATCCGAATGTTTGCTGGACCTGCCTATGTCTCCTATTTGGCTCCCCAAGAGACGGGCTCCTATAGCCATGTTCAACAAGGGTTGCCATGCTTTGGTCACCCCTTTGTATCCTTTTGATAGTAAAAGACAAAAAAAACATGACAGTTAAAGGAGTTTTGAAATTAACCTTGGAATGGCTGTATATGGATTTCAGAGATAATACACAACTTTGAAATCAACTCATAAAGCAACATCTCAGGAACCGCGGGATCACTTTCACCTACACTTGACCAGTACGAAGCTCTATCTTCAACCATATCACTTGGTTCCAAAGTATTATGAATGCTTTCTTCAGGGTAATGATCAGTGCTAGATGCACCAAAGGCCTCTGAAATGCAATCTTTTCTCAAGGAAGTGGTAAGACCTCGAGCTAAAAATGAATAGACCCTATGATCCCTCTCCAGGCATTCCCATTCCATAGAATTGTCAGGCTTGACTTTTACAGGTTCTATCATGTTTTCCACTTCAATAATCCGGGCAACACTTGATATTTCAGGAAACATTCTTAAACAAAGCTGCTTCGAGAGGTGATTTTTAATCACTGCATAACATTTAAACCCATGCCAGAAACAATCAATAAAACCGATAAACAACTTCTGTTGTATTTTCATTTTTTATTAATCAATGAAAATTAGTTATCCCGGTAAAAGAGGGAAGAACTTGTTCTGTAACTAAAAAGTGAGGTAGTGTTTGGATTAGAAGAATGAAGGTCGGAATGGAATGGTCATTTCATCCAAATACAGATTCCCATGTTCGGTTCGTTAAAAAGAGAGAAATTGTGCATCCCAAAGAAAACCACCATTCATCAACTTAAGAGAATGGCCATTCCATTGGAAAGCCAAAGAATAGTCATTCCATTCCTACCCAAAATCATTCTAGTGAACCAAACACTACATCTAAGTGATATTTTGGGAAACATTCTTAAACAAAGCTGCGTCGTGAAGCTTTCTGCAATCATTGCATCAGATTTAAACCCAAATTAAAACAATAAATAAAACAGATAAACAACTTTTGTTGTATTCTCTCTTTTTATCAACCACCGAAAAACAGTTGTCCAGGTAAAATAGGAAAGAACTTGTTACGTGAACTGAGGTAGTGTTTGGTTCATTAGAATAAATGTAGTGGCTTGGGTAAAAAACCCGACCCTTTAGCCTTTCTGGTGGGAGCACGTGTTGTTTTAGTTAACTTTTGTCTTACCTTGTTGAGTTGTGGTCTTAGAATTTTGAGAATAATATGTTACTTATGGAAATCTTAGATTGATTGTGTAGATTAATTGTATTTCCTATTTCAGATTAGGGTTAGGATTAAGTTTAGTATTGCTATATATATTGGCTATAGTCTTTGTATTTGTCATTTTTGAATATACAAACTTTATTCAGAAATCTTACATGGTATCAGAGTCGTGTGTGAAATCCTAGCGCCATCGTTGTCGCCTTCGGTTCTAACCTCTTCGGTTGAAGTTCTCTTCCTTGTATCGAAATCACAGTTCGTGACTCACCCATCTGGACCCATCTGCTTTGTAATAAGCACCTCTGTGTTCGACTCGCCTCGCGTGATTGAAACTTTGGAATCTTGTGTCTCGCAAGTCTCAGCCCTTCTTCCTCTATGCATCGACGACCTGGTCTTCTGAGTAGTTGCTGAAGTTGTTGATTTGAACTGCCTCTTTCTAGACTCGCGATCCTCGTCTCCGTCTGCACACATGATCATGAGTCTCGACAACACATCTGGGTTCGACTTCTGGAGCACACACAACATCTCTCTCGCTTTGGTTCACGAAGACTGTCTCTCGTGAAGGTCCCCTAATGAGTCGAAAGTCTAGTTCTCTCTCTTGCTGGTATTGAGTTCGTAAAACCTTCCTCTCAGTGGATCGAGTTTCGAGAAATACATCTCCTTCCCTGACTTGTTTACTGGTGCTGTATCTCTCTCTCTCTCTCGGGGTTAGGTTGGACCCACAGGGTAATTGACCCATCTAGTATTGTTTTTTGGATTTATTACGTTTAGATCCTTGCTTGTCTATTTTACTCTATTTTGGGTTTATTACACTTGAACCCCTTAGTTTTCTAGTTATTATAATGTCTCTGGTTTCAGATGAGTATGTCTTCTACCATCAGAGGAGCTATTGGAAATATCACTGTCCCAAGAAGGGATGTCTGTCTTGCTTGTCTTCTCCCCAGTTTCCGATCAAGTTCTGCGCTCCTCTTTTGAGTACCGTTCGGCCTCTCACCGGTTCTACTGCATCTGTTCTGGCTCCTGATCCTGACTTGGCTTTCTTGACTGCTCAGATTAGTCAACGTTAACATACACTGATTAGTCAACTTCAGCATATATTGTCTCCCTCCCCTTCTACTTCGGTTGTTTCCTCACTTCATTCAAGTTTGCTTGGGTCTTCTTTAGGTATCTCTTCGTCTGTCTGGATTTTTGACTCTGGTGCTTCTCATCATATGACTCTTCATTTCTCCTTACTTCAAAATTATATTTCCCCCCCTCTTACCTATTACTCTTAATGCTGCTAATGGGTCTAGTATATCTATTATATTTGTTGGGGTCTGTCCTACCGTCTGCTGTCTTTATTCCATCTGTCATTTATGTTCCTCAATTATCTGTCAGTTTATTATCTATCAGTCAGCTTGATACCTTTGGTTTTGATGTTATCTTTTCTTCTTTTATCAGTTCTGTGCAGGATCAGATATCTAAGCAGCAGATTGGGACCAACTGTAGAGTTGGAGACGTCTATGTGGTGGAGAGCTTGCATCTGCCTATAGCAACCTTTCCGATTACCTTTTCTTCTTTTCAGTTAGATTCTCGGTCTAATCCTTTTTGCTTGTGGCATTCTAGATTAAAGCATTTGTTTGCTAATTGCTTATAGTCTTTAGCTAAGTCTGATATTTTAGGTAAAGTTTCTCCTAGTGAACTTACTAAATGTCGAGGGTGCAAACTTGCCAAAATGGCAGCCTTACCTTTTCATAAAAGTACTTCCATATCTGATACACCATTTTCTTTAGTTCATACTGATGTTTGAGGCCTTTCTCCTGTTCTCACCAAAGGAGGTTCTGCATACTATGTGTCATTTGTTGATGACTACACCCGTTACACTTGGGTTTATCTTATAACTCATAAGTCCGATTTCTATCAGATATACCGTACCTTTTAGTCTATGATTATTATTCAATTTGGGTCTACAATTAAAGTGTTACGGTCTGACTTGGGTAGGGAATATTTTAAAAATGAGTTCTGTGAGTATTTGGCTAATTTGGGACCATTCACCAAACTTCCTGTACAGGTACACCTGTCCAAAATGGTCGAGCCGAGCGTGAACACTATCATCTCCTTGAGACAGCTAGGTCTCTTCTTCTCTCTGCCTCAGTTCCGGCTCTATTCTGCGGGAGGTAGTTCTTACTGCTGCTTTACCTCTCAAGCGCATGCTTACTCCCCTTTTTTCTGGTCGGTCTCCTTATCAAGCTTTGTTCTCCCAAATTCTTAACTACTCCCTCCTTTGTGTGTTTGGTTCTGCCTGTTTTGTCCTTCTTCCCCGCAAAGATAAGACCAAACTTAGTGTTTGGTCTGTCCTCTGTGTCTTTTTGGGTTATAGTCTTACTCAGAAAGGCTATCGGTGTTACGACCCTGTTTTCCGTCGTCTTTATGTATCCCGTCATGTTTCTTTTCTCGAACTTCTACCTTACTTTTAACTTCCTCCTCTCACCACTCTAGTTTCCGAAGATGATTTAGTTCATATTGATCTGTTTTCTTCTGAGGTCCCGTCTGATGAGTACATCTCCACAGTTCTTCCTGAGCTTGTTTCATCTTCTCCTCCTACTTCACCTCTAGATGCTTCTCCTCCTTTGGTTTCTTCTCCTCCTCCGTTGTTAGTTTATTCTCGTCGCAAGGCTCCTCCTCCACCGGTTGTCTCCGCCCCTGCTGCTAATCCCCCTGCCTCTGACGACTCTGATCCTATTGAACATCGATATCCTATTCGAGCGCGTCATCCTCCAAATAGGTTGGGTTGGTCTAATACATGTTTTTCTGCTTCCTATCGTACTTTTTTGTGTACTATTCATTCTTTTTTAGAACCTCAGTCTTACAAGGAGACCTGTCAGGATCCTCATTGGGTTCAAGCTATGGAGAATGAGTTGTCTGCTTTACAAAAAACTAGTACTTGTGAGTTGGTTCCTTTGCCTACTGGTAAGAATCCGGTTAGTTGCAAATGGGTCTACAAAGTCAAGACTCATTCTGATGGTTCTCTTGAGCGCTATAAAACTCGTCTGGTTGCCAAAGGTTTCTCACAAGAGTATGGTATTGATTATGAGGAGACCTTTGCTCCTGTTGCCAAGATGACTATTATCCGTACTTTGATCTCTGTCGCTACTGTTCGTTCCTGGCCTCTTTATTAGATGGATGTTAAGAATGCTTTTCTTAATGGCCATCTCACTGAAGAGGTTTACATACTTTCCCTCCCTGGTCTTTACCATTCCTCTGAACAAGTTTGTCGCCTTCAGCATGCTCTATATGGTCTAAAGCAGTCTCCTCATGCATGGTATGATCACTTTCAAACTACTGTTACTGAGCTTGGGTTTCATCCTTGTGCCTAGGACTCTGCTTTATTTCTTCTCCACACCTCTGCTGGATTTGTTGTGTTATTACTGTATGTGGATGATATGGTCATCACTGGTTTTAACTCTCCTGCTATATCTGCGGTCAAGCAGCATTTTTTCCGCACCTTTGAAATGAAAGATCTGGGTCCATTGCGGTATTTTCTTGGTATTGAAGTCGCTTCTTCTCCCAAGGGCTACTTTCTCTCAGGCCAAGTATGCCAATGAGGTTATTCATCGTACCGGTCTTACTGACACTAAGATTTCTGATACCCCCATTGAGGTTAATGTAAAGCTCAACACTACTGATGGTATTCTTCTGGATGATTCTACTTTATACCGAGAGCTCGTGGGTTGCTTAGTCTATCTGATGGTAAATCGTCCTGATCTTGCCTATGTTGTTCATGTGGTTAGCCAGTTTGTCTCTACTCCTCACTCTATCGATTGGGCTGCTTTGGTTTGGATTCTTCGCTATCTTCAGGGCACTATATTTCAGGATTTACTATTGTCTTCTACTTCCTCTTTGAACTTGGTGGCTTATGCTGATTCTGATTGGAATGGTGATGTCACTGATGGCAAGTCCATTTCTGGCTTCTATATGTTTCTTGATGATTTTTTGATTTCTTGGAAGGGCAAGAAACATATTGTTGTTGCACGTTCCACTGCTGAGGCTGAGTACCGTGCTATGGCTCATGCCATTGCTGAGATTGTTTGGCTTCGTTGTCTCTTGAATAATTTGGGTATTCATCAGTCTTCTCCGACCTCCCTTTACTGTGACAATCGTAGTGCTATTCAGATTGCACATAACACTGTTTTTCATGAGCGGACGAAACACATTGAGATTGATTGTCATTTTGTCCGTCAACATCTGCAGTCTGGCTCCATCTCACTTCCTTTCGTCTCTTCGGCCTTACAACTTGCTGATTTCTTTATGAAGACTCACACCATTGCTTGCTTTCAGTTTCTTCTTGGCAAACTCTCAGTGTTTTCTGCTAAAACACCTTGAGTTTGAGCAGGGGTATGAGAATATTATGTTGCTTATGGAAATCTTAGATTGATTGTGTAGATTAATTGTATTTCCTATTTCAGATTCAATTGATTGTGTAGATTAATTGTATTTCCTATTTTAGATTTGGGTTAGGATTAGGGTTAGTATTGCAATATATATTGATTGTAATCTTTGTATTCGTCATTTTTGAATATATATACAAACTTTATTCAGAAATCTTACAGGAACACCTTGGTTTTGTCCCTGAAACACTTGGATCAATCAGCATTGTTGGTTATTGAGGGTCGCACCCACAATAGGCCGCAACCAAAAACCACCTTCTGATATTTTGGTCCAAGGAATTGCATGGCCCGCAATGGGCCACGATGATAGCCTGCGACCAGCTTAGTCATGTCCACGGTCATTAGGTCGCGCTTGCGACTATGACAGTCGCTCCCATGGTGGTCAATCTATATAAGTCAGCAGTGAGCATGAAAGTGACTTTTCAGCTTTTTTTCTTCTCTTCTCTCTTTTGTTCGCCATTTCCAAAGCTCTAAGCTTCTTAACCCTTGGTTTCATCTATTTCTAGCCTAGATCTCACCCTAGTTCCTTATACCACAACATAGAGCGTAGCGAGGGCTTTCTTTTAATCTGGGCAAATCGTATTTTCGTCGTTGTTGGATTTTCGGGATTTCTCCTCTTCGCTTTGAGAGATAGTGATTTCTTTGATTCTTTTCAATATCTCGCTATAGATAAATAAGTGGTAGTTTTTATTGCATTCAAAACATGATGTTATTATGAGTTTTCTAAAAGTATATGATGAGAGTTAGGGTTTCGATATTTGGAGTTAAATTTCGTGTTTCGTTGTGGATTTATGAGAGTGTATGCTAGTGGGACATGTTTAGGGAGATTAGAGCAAAACGCCCTAAATGTTTATTTAATGTTCATGAGAAAGTGAAGATTTGATGATTTGAAATTTATTGAACCATGTTGAACATTGTATATTAAAAATGTGAAAATGGTTTATGTTGGGTCATGTTTGAATATCAACAAATTGGGATTTTGGATAATAAAAAGGATATTGGCGAATGTTGTGTACATAGGAGATTTTGGAATGACTGGATGGCTTTTGAAGTCAAAGTGGTGTTTGTAAAACTCTTTTGTAAAATTGAGAAATGAAAATAGGACGTGAGAAGAGTTGATGGTTTTAAAATTAATGAGTAATTGTATGCTTTGTGAGTTGGAAATGTACCATAGAAGATAAAGAAATAATGGTTGTCTTGGATTATGTTAAATTGATAATGTTGGTGATTTGAAATCATGGAATCGGTTATGGGATTTAATTATGAAAATTGTGTATTTATTGCTTAGAGGTTTTGTCATTAGCCATCAATGGAGGATGGTATTGATATTGTTAAATAGATTATGCGTGTTATATGTTGTTGAATTACGTGTGTAATTTAGAGTAATGTGGTAATGTGATGTGTTGGATGATGAATGTGTTATATGAGGGTCTATTTCCTTTCAGCGTTGGTCCGGTAAAGCATGACGCATTGATATAGATTATGTTCCCTTTCAGTATGCGCCCAGTAAGGCGTGGATTTGAGGTTCCGTTCCCTTCCAGCTTTGGTCCGGTAAAGCGTGACGCTTTGAGACAGGTTCGCTCTCTTCCGGCTCATGCCCAGTAAAGCGTGTTGTGGTGGTTATGGCTTGACGAAGTCGGATAGTTTTATGTGATAGAGTTGTTTACTTTGTTTCGTATATGTGTGGATTAGGGGTGTGCCTTTAGCCTTCCGTGCCAGTGGTCGGTAAAACATGGGAGTGTGTTGATATTATTGTTGTTTCTTTTAGTGTATTAATTGTGGCGGGTGTTCCATTTGCCCTTGTGTTGATATTAAAAGTCACATTATTTAGATACTATGATCCTATCTATCTATATGATGTTATTGTTTAGACTCATTAGAATCCCTACTGGACCTTTGTGTTCAACCCACGTTAATAATTTTTCAGGTACATAGCTAGAAGGATTATTCGGGACTTGAAGTCATCCTTATCTGTAGGCCTCAGGGCCATTATTTGTTTGGCGGAATGCCCATGTTATGTGCCGAGGGTTAAGCCCTTTCGTTTATTTTCTTAATGTAAACTTAAGGGCACTGTAACTGATTATAATAATATTTCATCATTATTCATACGAGAGAGGATATTACTATTCAATTATTATTTATGTTACTTCCGCATGTATGCATGAGAAAATGGACTTAAATCAGATATTTGATAATGTTATTTGGGTAATAAAAGTTGGGGCATTACAATAAAGGCTGGAATGGAATGGTCATTCCGTCAAAATACCCATTCCCATGTTGGGTTCTGTAAAAGGGGAAAAATTGTACATTCCAAATAGAATCACCATTCACCAATTTAAGAGAATGACTATTCCATTGAGAAGCCAAATAGTAGCCATTCTAGTTGTGTCCAAAATCATTCTGACAAACTGAACAGTATTTGGAGACCAGAAACTCCATTCAAAGGAACAACACCCAAGTAAAAAAAAAAAAAAAACCTCCAATTGAGGTAATTGATCATATCTCCTTATGAATCTTATAAGCCAGTATTCAAAAGAGTCATAAAACCTAGAATTTGAACATGGAGCACACAATTGTCTAGATTGAAAACATCTTTGACATTAGAATTCATACATCAATGCATGAAGTCCAAAGAAAGCTATGATATGCAAGTACATGGCAAAAATATAGTGGAATCAAAGCTTAACATAATAAAAATTAAAGCAAGCCCTATAATTTGCATATGTGAGCTCACCAAACTGACGCCAAGAACTTGAAACTGAACAGACACGGACGAGATCAGATGGGTCCTCCAAACACATGAGAATCTTCATAGACAAATCAGGTCCAAGACTTTGAAGGAGATCTCCACAACCCTCCATTTCAAGATAAACTATTGCAATTATACCAAACAAATTGTTGATGATCACAGCCTTCTACTTCCTTTTAAAAATATATAAATATATATATATATATATATAACAATAACCTATTAATACTACAAAAGTACAATAAAATGAATATTATGAGGAAGTGCTAATGACATACGGTGGTCGTTAGTTTTGATGTATGTGTAAAAAATAATAGTGTAAAATTATTTGAAAAATATATTGAGATTATAACTATTTTGTATTAATTCCACATTAATGACAATCAGGATGGTTGTTAGCATAACACTTAGTAAATTAAGGATAAATTACACTTACACCTCCTAAGATTTGAGTTTAATAGATGTTTGGAAAATTACACTAAACTCCTGTCATTGTATTATTTAGATGGATTGAAAATATTGAACTCATGCACTTTTTCTTTTCGTACTTTGCGTTACTTCCTCTATTTGTTTGTTTGTTTTTTTATTATTATTTTTT